ATCCAGGTCCAGCACAGGGACTTGCGAGGTCGCCGCAGGGGACGTGGCAGCAGCGGCAGCAGCAGTGGTGGCAGCCGTAGCAGCAGCAGCAGCAGCAGCAGCAGCAGCAAAATCAGCAGCTGCAGCAGAAGAAGCAGCAGCAGCAGCAGCAGGGGAAGTAGCAGCAACAGCAGCAGCAACAGCAGCAGCAGCAGCAGCGACAGCAGTGGTGGCGGAGGGGGTGGGAGAGCAGGCGAGCATCTCAGCAGCAATGCTGTCGCCCGGAGAGAAGGGGCGCTCCATGCATCTCCCCTCGCGCTGCCCGTTCACATAGGCTGCGAGGGGAATTAAAGGAGGAGGGCGAGAGGGAGAGGAGAGAGAGGGCGGGCGGTACTTGTGGCAGTGTGCAACAATGTTACAGTGACATACACACTGACACTGCATGACACCGATTCAGTCAGAGATGCACATGCGAGCCAGAGAGGTACATGTGAGCCGGTCGGAGATGCAGATGCGAATGCAAATGCGGCTCACCAGTGGACACGTGCACCAGCAATTGAAGCCTCCGGCACTTCTTGGCGAAGGCTAGCACCCGCCGCGGGCCCATGGTGTTGATATTGAGTGCCACGTCATACCTGACAGGCAGAAGGACACGTGGCAGGTTGAACAGGACACGTGGCAGGTCGAACAGGACACGTGGCAGGTTCAAGAGGACAGCAAATTTACAGGGCATTGGGATGCGACACTCCTGACGCGACGTGATGCAACACATGGTTTGGATGATCAACATACATTTTCCGGATGATAGCAGCTCATCACCCAACCCATCAGAGATCGCGCGCACACTGACAAGTCAATGGCCTTCTAACAAGCTTTTGGGTCGAGTCAACGCAGCAGTCATGTGGTTTACACGCGCAGCTGTCAACATGCAGAATCAAGGCTGTATTCAACGCGCAGCCTTGAAACGAGCTTCCATTGAATGGGATGCAGATGCACATGCATATGCGCGGCACATACATACTCGGCTTCAAAGTCAACGGTGGCGGCGAAGTTGAAGATCAGATCGACCGAGTCATGCAGAGCAGCAGCGGCGTGGGCAGGCAGTCCCAGCCCGTCCTCCCCCACGTTGCCCTGCACGGCCGTCAGCTTGCCCGCCATGAACGCCCCGTACCCCTCCCCATGCCGCTCGCGCAGCAGCGAGAACACGGGCGACGGGACGACCTGGGGAGGGGGAATGCAGGAGGAGAGGGAGGGATATGTTGTGTGCTGCCGCCGCAGATGCGGGAAACAGGGGCGAGGGAATGGGCTCTAGTTGTGGGGGCGCGGGGGTAGGGAACAGCAAGGCGGGAACAGCAACCAACCTGAGAGCACGGCAAGCAGCAAGCAGCGCACGCACCTGTTGCGTGAGGCGATGCGCTGCGGTGGCGCGGGCTGTGGGTTGGATGAGAAGATACAGCTGCCCCACGCGCGGCTGCTCGCGGAGTATCTTCTCCACCAACACTGCCGGGGGGAAGGGAAGACGTGGGGAAGGGAAGACGTGGGGAGAGAAGGGGGGGAAAAAGAAAGGACGTATGTTAGAGAATTCTCAAAATTACCCCCCAATACTGTCGGGGGAAAGGCCGAAGACGTGGGGAGAGAAGGGGGGGAAAGAGAAAAGAGGTTCCAAGGACCGAAACGGAGTATCGTGTGGACACCTACCACGAGCAAGCACCCCAATGAAGCCCGTGACCACACCGTGACCACCAGAAGCCGCACCTTTCCCAATGAAGCCCGTCGCGCCCGTGATGAGCACGTGCTTTCCCTCTAGGAACGGCAGGATGCCCACCCCGCACGCCCGCCCCTCCTCCTGCTGCTGCTGCCGCGGCACGTCTTGCTGCTGGAGCACCTTTTGGGACGTCTCAAAAAGCACCTCCTGCTCGAGCACCGCAGTCGCCCCCGCGGATGTGGCAGCAGCAGCAGCAGCAGCAGTGCTATCTCTATCGAAGCTCTTGGTGCGCGCGCGACATTCAAGTCCGCGAAGTGGCGAAGAATCAGGCCCTGTTACTAGAGAATACACTGGCGAGGACTGAACACGTGGCCCCTGGTATTTCCCAGACCAGCTTGGATTCCCCCCCACCTTTCGGAGGTAGCCCGAGAGCTTTCTTGCTCCAGAAGGCTCGCCTTGCTGGATCATCATCGCAGTCGCCCCAGCGGTTGTGGCAGCAGCCGCAGCCGCAGCAGCAGAAGCAGGCGCAGCAGGAGCGAGGGTGGTAGACGCCATTGTAAGAGCAGAAGCCAGTAAGGCGGCTGCACAATCTGCGACAAGAGGGGCCAAACAGCACGAGGCACGGTACCGGCGCTTCCTCAGGAAGGAGGCTATGGCTTGGGCCCTGCCGTGCTGCTGCTAGCAGTACTTGAAGGCTCCTCGGAGGTTGGACGGAAGGCTCTCCTGGGAACTCAGTCAGGCTGAGCGTGGAATATATCCCACGATTTTTCGCCATCGCCGTCGACTGCCAGTCGCACGGCCTCTGGCGACTGGCATGGCCTGGGCGACTCTCCGAGTCTAGCTTTCTGGGCGAGTGACAGCCCCTGTGACCCAGTGGTGCGGAGCCGTTAGTCCCATGTCGCGCAGGACATTCCAGCCTGGCAACAACATGCCATCATCCCAAAAAATCGAACTTTTCAAACGGGTTTTTAGTTACTGCGGAAGAAAGACTTTCGAACCTGCGCTTTGTAGGTACCTTCGTCACTACCTGCACACAGTTTCCTAGGTTTCACGGCCCACACAGAAGACTTTAACCACGTGTCACCTCGGAAGCCGTCTCTGTTGCTACTCAGGCAAAAGGTGCGCGACAATGTTTTGTTTTTTTTATCCGCACTAAACTAAATCCCTCTCGGCTGGCAAATGATAAGGGCCATCAACCCTAAACACCTTGCGACTAAGTTTTTAGGGTTGATGCCAAAACTAAATCCCTCTTGGCAGGCATGTTAATGAAGGGCATCAACCCTAAACACCTTGTCGCGTGGTGTTTAGGGGTGATGCCCTTGAAAACTTGCCATCCGAGAGAGTTTAGTTTTGTGCTTGCTGGCAGAAGACAGCCGATGAAAACAGTGCTTGCGTGATGTGCGGAGAAGCCGAATTCTGTTTTAGCACAAAAACTCTTCCGCCTCAGAAGTGGATCAGCAGAAAGTGTGCGCAATTTGAGATAAAAGTGCCTCAAAAGAAAGACAGCTACATTAGGCCTACCAAGAAAACTAAAAACCCTTTTCAAACTTACGGCAAAGCAGGTTTGAAGGAGCTCTGTGAAGTGTACCGCCAGTTGGTTTGAACTGACCTACCCCTGGCAAACCTGCACTGAAGCTGCTTTTCGGCTCGGGACACATTGGGGAAATTTGGCGACGAATCTGTGCCGCACATCTCAAGAAGTCAAAGCTACTTTAGCGTAACTCTGAATGCGGCCCAGTTCGGCAGCCAGGGGGAAGAAAAATGTTCGGAAGATGTGTGGAAGGTAAGGCGGGCGTCAACCCCGGTTCGACATTCGTTGACCCTGTGTTCCGCGAATTGCGGATAACCTGCGCCATCTGCGAGCCGGCGGAGGGTGGAGGGGGGAGGTATGAAAATCGCCGCAGGAGAGAGGCACATTTTGCCTCAAATTCGCTTCTTCCTTTGCACTGTAGCGGCAACAAAAAGGTTCGCCGAGAAGGAAAAATTATTTTTATGCAGTAGCAATTCCTTCGTAGGGTGCAATGCTGTCCCGTGAACAGTGAACCCAGGTGGAATAAAAAAGTTGATTCTTGTTTTGTGAGAGAATCACTTTCTTCTTCTGTCTCACTAGGGCGGAAGCTTTCCGCCAAGGGGGGAGAATAATGACAGAAGACGGCGCGGAATCAATTTTTGGAAGTGATCGCGTCGCTGCTGATAAACACCTGCGCTTCGATCTCCGAAATGTTAACCCTACAACCCGCACTGTAGAGCCCTCGATAATGCGAATAGAAGCTTCATAGAAGATGAGCGAATTTTTTTTTACGTACTTCTTCCGTGGCTGCCGAACTGCGCCGTTTCACTTCGATTTTAAAAGGAAATCTAGTCTGTGCCGCACATCTCCGCACTCTCGAAGCTACTTCAGCGTAACTATCAATATGAATTCGGGAAAAGATCATATTAGGGCCGAACAGTGCCAGAGGGGTGATCAAAGTAGGGCCGAAAAATCTCGACCGTAGGATTTCAACCCGGAGCTGACTGCGAACAATCCGAACCATGAGTAAACGAAAATTACTAAAACGAACCGAATTTTGTGCTCATTTTCTGTATTGAGGGTTTTGACCGTCGTCTACTACAACGCGCTCGTCGCCTTCTTCTGGAATTAAATTTTGGCGTGTCAAATCGTGAGTACGTAACAAAACTTAATATATTCTGGGTGATACATATCACATACCCGATCGAAAACGCACAAGAAAAAAAAATTACCCATTCGGAAACGGATGCGACTCGGGAGGAATCAACCCGAAATACCGGTAAAATCCCCTTTTAAGGGTTGATCCATCCCAAAATTGCATCCAGGTTCACTATGAGTTTTAGTTCTTTTGGCTGCCCAAGAGTTCCTGGTAGATTCGGCTCGCTAAACGACACGCGAGCGAAAATGCAAGCCGGTACATGCCACTGGTAACAAAATTACGTGCAATAATCGAAGACCGTCTGTTAATCCCTCCCCGCGCACCGGTTTGGCAAGTTCCGGGCATCTCGGCCCCTGATCGATCACCCCCCTGGCACTGTTCGGCCCCTCAAAGATCTTTCCCGTATGAATTCAACTCTTCGAAGCACGTGTCATGCGTCTATTCCCTCTTGTGGGATATCAGCCAACTGCATCACCGAGATCAATGAGACCTAATTCGCCAATTTTGTCAGGCGCCATCAAATTACTCGACCCCACACAGCTGACGACAATCGCAGCAAGCCTGCGAAATAAATCTGTTACCGTTACGCATCTAGTTTACTCGATTATTTAGACTTCCTATTTTCATTAATCAATTATGTGTAAACACAAATTATATAACAGGGTAACGGTTAACAGGGTTACCAAGATATCTCAAAATCTACATTATATAAAAAAGTTGATTCATACATTTTCTAGGATATAGCAATTTGCATTTCAGTGTACGTATTGAACCCATGAATAAGCAATTACTTAATTGTGTTTCTATTTTGACGTTTTGAATCATTGAAGCCAAAATCATCTAGAGTTGGATATGCACGAAACATTTGCATCCCATATAATACGGAATGACCAATAACAGAAGCATTCAAATTAAATTACCGATTGTAAACAAGCATCACGGAACTAGGTTGTAGAAGACTCTCCTCTATTTTGCAGGAACTGGAATTGTTCTAATCAGTAGAGCACGCTGTTAGCTTTCCAACGAGCCATAGATCACCTCGATCGCCTAAGTATCGAGCGAGATATGGCTACTAACATGAAAGCTATGCTCTATGTTGAAGGATTGGAAACTCTCTGGAATTTGTTGTCGAATGCATTGTGTAAAAAGTGATTCGCGTTTTCCAGTATGAAACATGTAATACAAAGCAAACAGATTTATAGCATGCAATGAACATCGAGTCGCACAAGTAACATCGAACCGCGGTACACTCGCGAATGTTCGAGTAACATTTCGAATGGGTGAAATTCGAGTCTCGAATTTCACCGAATCGAATTCTCCCTGGGTCTCGATGCTTCTTGTGCTGCCAAGTGGCACCGAAATGCAAGTCTCTCGAAGTCAATCTGCAACTTCACGAAACCTGCAGTGAAGTCAAGTAGAAGCAACACATTCGGTGGGTTGGGGGCATATATGTGAAAATAGTGAATGAGTTAGGAGCCATAGCTAGGTAAGTCCTAGCTAGGCAAGAGAAGTTTAGGCAAAAGAGGAGGAGGTTCACTAGCAGCAATGAGGATACATATAGCAAACCCTAGATGGGTTGTACTCGCTATAGAGCACCCCATTACAGGCTAGAGAATAACATTCTGACAATATAACCACCCCACCACCACTTGCTTCAACCATACGCCACCTCCAACACTCCCCCTTGCACCCAAACCACTAGGTGTGCAATCCAACATGCTCATAGCATATACGGGATGGATCTTTAGGGGGTGGTTCCATGAGAGATTCCGCGTGTTTATCATCACCCTTGGTCGCGAAGCAAAATGTCGCGCCCCCTTTATCCGTCTCCCCAACGGCTACTGTAGCATAGTCGGCGTATTTTGAGGGAGGACGAACCTCACGACGCTCGCGGGTCAAGGCCAATGGTAGGGAGGAAAGTGTGGAGGTAGTTGCCGCCTCGGTTGGTGGCACCTCCACGACATCATCAACGCTTTCCTCGTCGTTCTCTCCCCCTCCATCAGCTTCCTTCTCCACTTGAGGTAGAACTTCACTTTCTTCAACCTCCTCTCGTGCCGGAAGGATGAAGGTGACTTGTTGAGTTGGTTTCTCCTTCGCCGGGAACTTGTCTTCGTCGAAGACCACATCCCGAGACGTGACAACGCGTTTTTCACCCAAGTCCCACACTCGCCATGCACGCTCGTTTGGCGCAACTCCCAAGAAGATCGACGCACGAGCTTTCGGTTGCAACTTGTGGCGAAGAGGATCTGGTACATCGTAGTAGCAAAGGCACCCAAAGGTGCGAAGGCGGGATAGGTTCGGCCTCGTTCCGCTCCATGCTTCGAACAGAGTCGTTCTCGGGAGCACCTTTGTCGGCAAACGATTACGAATCCATGCCGCTAGCGCACTCGCCTCTCCCCACCACTCGTTCCCAATCTTGGAGTGTTGAAGAAGTGAACGAACGGCTTCCACCAAGGTGCGATCAAGCCGCTCCGCCGCTCCATTTTGTTGGGGTGTGTAGGGTGTTGTGACGTCGTGCTTTATGCCCTTGCTCTTCATCTATTTGTCAAGCTCGTTGTTCACGAATTCGCCGCCACCGTCCGTGCGAATAACCTTGATCCGCTTCTTATCGTCGTCGCAAACTTCGAGCGCCCACTCTTGTATTGCCTTGGCCGCGTCGCCCTTAGCCTTCAAGAGCCGGGTCCAACATTGTCAGATTTATATGACATAGCTACTGTAGGCTATAGTGGGGTAGCACATATGGGGTACAGTTTTCTAGGGTTTGCTTTTGTACCCAACTTTCCTTTAGTCATTCCATTCCTCGTTTCTTCTCATGGTATCGAGCAGGTTCCCTAGTGGGAACACTTCCTAGGGCCCACCACGAATTTTTTTTTCCTGCCCGGAGCGCGCTTCGCTCCTGCCCGAGTCGCGCCCTGTGTGCCCTCCCTACCGTCGCGCCCTCTCACGGCCCCTCACGGCCCCTTCGCGTCGCCCTTAGCGGCCCCTCTCACGGCCCCTTGCGCCGCCCTTACGGCCCCTTGTGCCACCCTTACGGCCCCTCGCGCCGCCCTTACGGCCCCTTACGGCCCCTCGCGCCGCCCTATCACGGCCCGTCGCCGCCCTCCGCGGCCCCTCGCGCCGCCCTTCACGGCCCCTTCGCGCCCTTCG